GGATCGCTCAAGGTCAGGAGTTCGAGACCAGCCTGAGCAAGAGCGAGACCCCATCTCTACTAAAAAATACAAAGAAATGATCTGGACAACTAAAAATATATATATATAGAAAAAATTAGCCGGGCATGGTGGCACATGCCTGTAGTCCCAGCTACTCGGGAGGCTGAGGCAGGAGGATCGCTTGAGCCCAGGAGTTTGAGGTTGCTGTGAGCTAGGCTGACGCCACGGCACTCTAGCCTGGGAAATAGAGTGAGACTGTCTCAAAAAAAAAGAAAAAAAAATAGACCGGGCTGGATCAACCCCGGTCCAAAGAGCCTCCACTTTGAAGACTCCAGGGCCGGGTGCGGTGGCTCATGCCTGTAATCCCAGCATTTTGGGAGGGCGAAGCAGGCAGATTGCTTGAGCCTAGGAGTTTGAGACCAGCCTAAGCAACATAGAGAGATCTGTCTCTACAAAAATTTTTAAAAATTAGGCAGGCATGATGGCACACGCCTGTAGTCCCAGCTGCTCGGGAGGCTGGGGCAGGAAGATCGCTTGAGCCCAGGAGTTGGAGGCTGCAGTGAGCTATGATGACACCGCGGCACTCTAGGTGGGGTGACAGAGTGAGACTCTGTCTCAAAAAAAAAAAAAAAAGAAAGAAAGAAAGAAAAAAAAGCAGCAGCACTCCCCAATCGCATGACTATTTGGGGACTTGCTTGAGAACATAAACTGCTTACATTATATTTATCCGATATTTCTACCCACGGGGACCTTCAAAGTAGGGAGGGAAATGCTTTACCTGTTGGATGCACCTGGAGAACACAATCTCCTTTGCTGTCCCCGGCCACAGCAAGACACCTTGCACGGGGTGCTGCATTTCTTCTCCTCAGTGAAGTGTGCTCCGAGCTACACCAGTTAACTGTGGTTGGGCACGCTGTCACATTAACAAGATGACGGCTGCATTGTTTTATATATAAATACAAATTTTAGCTATTTACTAATAAATTTATAGCGATTATTATCTATAATAATTTTTCTTATCCACAGTGTAGTGTTCATATAATAATTTTTGTTTTGTTTTGTTTTGTTTTTTGAGACAGTGTCTCACTCTGTTCCCCGGGCTAGAGTGCCATGGCGTCAGCCTAGCTCACAGCAACCTCAAACTCCTGGGCTCAAGCGATCCTTCTGCCTCAGCCTCCCGAGTAGCTGGGACTACAGGCATGCGCCACCATGCCCGGCTAATTTTTTCTATATATTTTTAGTTGTCCAGATCATTTCTTTCTATTTTTTTTTAGTGGAGACGGGGTCTCGCTCTTGCTCAGGCTGGTTTCGAACTCCTGAGCTCAAACAATCCGCCCGCCTCGGCCTCCCAGAGTGCTAGGATTACAGGCGTGAGCCACCGCGCCCGGCTGAGATGTTATAATTTAACAAAGCTAGCTGACTGTGCAGGCACCAAGAAAACTGTTTTAAGCAAGACCAGACCCCCGAAAGCTACGAAGAAAAAGACAGACATGTATGACCACATAAATCTTCAGCCATATTGCCTTAAGATATTCACAAAGGGAACAGTCAAACAGTAGATGAAGCGGGGCTGAAGGGAACCTGAGTTTGAAATCCCTGAGTGTCCCTACAGTCCCACTCATGCGACTCGGCCTGACGTGTGCTGTTGCCAGCACTGCAAGGTCCCCAAGGCAAGACGGGGCCAGGGGAAGCAAATGCACAGACCCCTGTACGTTCTATGTGAATTGAAGGGCACAGGGGAAAGTGTGGGCAGGTCACCATGAGACCCAGGTGGGGGAGGTGACAACGATGACTGTGTCCGGATCAAGCTGCATACATGTGTGCTATCGAATCCACATGAAAGTGTACGTGTCACTTCATTTGGAGAGACACATGTGAAGGTGGTGGGGCCACCAGAATCCTGACAGTCCCCTCCACTGGCTGTGGGTAACGTTTACGTTCTTCTCTATACTTTCCTGTATTGCTGGTTTGTTTTCCTTCCAATAAGCCCACATTATCTACACAGTCAGAACAAAAACAATAAAACCACTTTCTCAGAGGAAGAAGCCCAGTGGCAATACTATTGCCACTTGGTCCAGGGAGAAGAAGAGTGGAGAGCGCGCTGGGTGGGGCGGGTGCTCCGGTTTCTAGTCCTGTGTTGTAACTTTCAGCCAAGTCAAACTTCTGGGGTTTCAGTTTCTCTATCTGTGAAATGAGGGGATTGGCACAGACGATTTCTAAGATCCCGCCCAGCTTTGAACCTCTCAACCCAACCGTTAGGGCAAAGGTAAGAGAGGCCCCATCTGGGAACCATTGGCTCCCCAGCTGTGCAGGGACTCAGTGGAGCAGCAAGACTGAGAACAGTGACAAACACAGACACATCAACAGCCAACGTCCCTGAGAGCCCTGTGCAGAGCCAGAGGAGGCACAGCCACAAGGCTCGAGCCTCGTCCCTCTGGCAGTGGCTCAGGGGACACTGGCATCTGCAAGCCTGGGCTGGGGCTAAGGCACTCTGAGGTCCCAGCCCCAGAAGCAAGGTTCACTTGGGCAGGAAGGGACAAGGAAGCTGTGTCGCTAAAGTTGGCCACACTTTGAGAAACACTGATCAAAAAAAGGGCATGGGGAGAGAAGGTTCCAGGCCATGGCCTGCCATGCTCCGTCTGGCACAGGTTCTGGGACTTCTGGCGTCACTTGGGTTGGCTCAGTGCGGGGTCGCTGGATTTAGCAAATAAAAATACAGGATGCCCAGCTGAATTTGAATTTCACCTAAACAATGAATAATGTTTTAGTATAAGCATGTCTCATGCAACATTTGAGACACATTTGTGCTAAAACATTATTCATCATCCTGCATTTAATCTGGCAGGAGAGAGGAGAGTGGGTCAGGCTTCCTGAGGTCTCCACCCCTCCTGAGGTGTCCCCTCCACTTGGGCCCCTCCCCAGGGTCTCTCCAGGCCCCCTGTGGCTCCACACCCACCCCACGCTCACAGCGGTGTGCATAGTTCTTCACGAAACTGCCCTGAATCACGCTAATCTGGGTGTGCCACCTGTTTCCTGTGGGACCCTGCCTGACACAGGAGTGAGATGAAAACCAGAAGTCTCTCGGGGTTATTAATTACATAGATATTGGTAGAAATAATAAGTAAAATAGTATTGGCGCATGTGACTCAAAGGTGTGGAATGAACAAGTCCCAACAATTCAGTGGATCCACTCTGCCCGTGAGAGAAACAGCTGTGAACAGAGAAATAACAGAAGAGGGGTCACTTGGACACCAGATGAAGACCCTGGTTCCCGTCCCCCACCTCCGTTCCCATATCTAACGGAGCCCCCAAGGAAGCCCGCCCTTTCCTCTCCCTCCCTCGGGCCTCTCTGCAGACGACCACCGCCTTTTCCTCTCCTAGGGCACAAGGGGCCTTTGAGACAACTTCAAACAGAGCAAAGCTGTTTCCGTGCAAATGCTGTGCCCTGAAGGAGGGGGAGAGGCAGTGCTCTTGGGCCCTTACCTGGTAGCATTTCAAGAGGGTCCTTCAGGTTGAGCCCCGTCACCCCACAACCCACTTGAGATGTGCTCAGCCAGGACAGGAAGTCCAGCCCAGGTGCCCAGTTTCAAAAGCATGTCAACCCTCGGGGCACTGAGCAGGTGCACTTGGGCGGCCCATCCTGAGATGCCATTTGGCAAGGACAGGGCATCCTCTGTCCTCTGCCCTCACCTTTGTAGGTGATCACTTACCCATTTAATTTGGGGATGGCCACTCAGGCGGGCCCAAACTCTGTACCAGTGAATAGGAAAAGCCTAAACCAGAAGATTTTACTCAGTATTTGAGGCTACAAGGACAAGACCGCTGGAGTCTGGCACTGGAGAGATCCCAGCTGAAATGAGTGGTTGACATCAGCTTTCTTCTGAGGTCCCCTTTATGGGCCGGATGCTTTTCAGGTGAAAGGTGGTGACACTGGCCTGTAAATAACACATTGAGAAGCAGGAGGAAAGAGTGCACAGAGGGGAGAGGCCTCTGGGGCTCTGGAGAGGGCAGTCCAAGTGCAGAATCCTCAGTGCCTCTTTAGCCTTGGCATCGGCCAAGGGATGACCTGGCATCCTGACCCACAAACCAGAGGGTCAGACCCCTGGCTCAAGGGCTCAAAAACTATCATCTGCATGAGAAGCACACTGCGGGGTTTAAAGATGTCAACTCCAGGTCCTTGCTCTGAGATGCCACCAGGAGATCATGACTCAAAAGGACCTGGGTGACCTGGGTCTCTCCAATGACCCTTCAGTAATCCTAGCCACTAAGGACATCTAAGCCACACCCTGGCTCTGAGGGTAGACCCACCAAGCAGCTTTCAGTTGAGAATTCAACTTTTGACATTTGTGTGTGTTTTTCATCTAGACACACCCTACCTTGTTCCACAAAGCATTCGAGGTGATGTGTCTTTCATGTGACCTGCCTATAGCTAATACGAACACCAAATCAGCTTGGCAGTCACAGGTGTTGTGGGGAGTTAAGTGATTTCCCCATCAGTCTGCTGGGCATGTGTTTAGTGTGACTCAGTCTCCCTGAATCAAGTCACCTCTGAGGACACTCACTGGTAGCCCCAATGGCTGGCTTGCCTAGCAGTTGCCAGACCACACCTATGACTGACACCCCAAAGACACTGCAGACACCCTCGTTCTCTCCAACTGCAAATGTGACGGATTTCTTGGGGTTATTTCCACCATTCCCTTATGCCTTATTTCGAAACATTTCAAACCACAGAAAAGTTGCGAGAATAGTATGGGGAACACGTACACATCCTGCACCTAGATCTTTGCTTTATGTCTTTAAAAGTAAGCTGTAGAGGTCATCACACTTCACGCCTGAGTACTGAAGCTTGTAACTTCTAAAGGAAGGACAGTCTTTCCTGTAATCATATATTATCACACCCAGGACACCAGCACTGGTAGCAGACTGTCATCTGACAGTCCATTTTAATGGCGGTGGGGGAGGGTCATCAGTTTTAAGTATTAATAGCTTCTTTCCACACTTTAATGTGTCTTCCCCTCAGGATGAAGTCTTTGGCAAGTGCTTAAATTTGTCAGAAACAAAAATGCAAAGTGGAACTGGAGCGCACCACAGACCTTGGACCAGAAGTGGCCTGTGAGGCACTGGAAGAGACGCCACCGTGCGAGCTGATGGTCACACAGCTTGAGGACACAAAGCCCAGGCAGGAGAACACTCCTAGAGCTAGGTAGGTGGCCAAGGAGGTGCTGCCACACTGCCGCTGGGCACACAGGGCCTGCCCCACGGTGGCCGCCACGTGAACACCTAGCGTGGCCTCAAACCCGCGGGGGTGCAGTAGTACAAGGCCGTAACTGGCCAGGGAGAGGCACTCGATGGACAGGAACAACCAGGGCTTCCAGCCCCTGTCTAGGTAGAAGCACCGGGCCAGCGGCCACGCGAAGATGGGCAAAGTGAGCCACTGGTCGAGCACTGCGGCAGGGTGCATCTGGGTCCAGATGGGCAGCCACTGCATGGGCCCATAGAGCAGTGCCATGCCCGCGAAGACGGCTTCCAGGTAGCCGGCCCTCCCCATCTCCGCTGGGCACCCTGGGGTGCTGCTGTTCCTCTGCAGCCAGTACACGCCCAGGAGCACGTAGGCCAAGTTCACAAGCGAGTTGAAGGGCATGGCCAGGAAGGCTAGGAGGCCAGCCACGGGCACTTCTGCGTAGTGCTCATAGCCCACTTGGATGAAGACGCCCTCGAAAATGCCTGCGTAGACGGTGGCAGCACAGAGGCAGCCTGCCACGGCCACATGGAAGAGGGCCTGCCCCGACTCTGGCTTCATCTGGAACCCTCAGTGTGACCTGGGGCAGAGAGCTCAAAAGAGCAGCAGCCAGCAGCCGCTGTGATTTCAGATAAACAGCTTTTGAAAAACACTCCTTGGCTTCCCAGCTGAGCCAGCAGGAAGATGTCCCGTGATTTCCGACGCAGATGCTGCGACCTTGCCCCGGAGGAAGGCAGGAGCCCTGCTGATTGGCTGGCACGAGTGGAGGACCGTTCAGCCTTTTTCCTTTGTGGTTACAAAAAGAGTGTGGTTAGAAAACAAACATCCAAAAAAGAGCCTCCATCTTCCCGACTCTGAGCCTTGGGATCCACAAATGGTTTTCATCAGACAAAACAAGTAAAAGTCAAAGGATACCCACTATGTTCACCTTCTTACTCATGGCCTCTGGAAGCCTCTGGAATTCTCTATTGCCTCTCTCTCCTGGCACCTATGCTGCTCTTCTTTCATCTGTGTACTATAAAAATCCTGCTCATTGTCCTAGTTCCCTTAAAGCCATTGCATTTAGAGACTTAAACCTTTCCTAGGTCTGTCGTTCCAACTCAGAACATGGAACTTTCCAGGCCAGCCCCGAAGCTCTTTTAACCAAATACCCAGTTGAACTAGAGACCATTAGATGCGGTCCGAGTTCTGGCTCTGAGGCAAGGGACAGTGTGGAGCTGGCGGGGGGGCGGGGGGGGAACAAGGATCACCCTGCCTCATCCCTCTGCCTTCCTGCGATGTGCTGAGCCCCAAGTCACCTTCTTTCCTTAGCCCACGCTAAAACCTTCCATTTCCTGTAGTGACAGAACCAGAGACACAATTTAATTACCCAACTGCCAACTGCTCTGGGGCTGGCTGTGGTGTGAGTTAGCCTAGTAGCCGAGAAATGTATGAATATCACAGGGAGAAGAGGTTCAATGCTCTGAAAAGGACTCACAGCCAAGAGGGTGGGCAGGTGTGGGGGAGAGAGAGTGGTGGGCCTCAAGTTCCAGGTAGCCTGATGCCAGACTGTTTCAGTTCCAAACCTCGGCTGTCCCACTTACTAATTGTGTGACCTTGGGCCTTAACCATTCTGGGCCTCACTTTGCTCACCTGTAAAATGGGGATGCTACCAGGGTTGTCGTGTGGATTAAATGGGTTTTTTTTTGAGACAGAGTCTTGCTCTGTCGCCTGGGCCAGAGTACCGTGGCATCAGCCTAGCTCACAGCAACCTCAAACTCCTGGGCTCAAGTGATCCTTCTGCCTCAGCCTCCCAAGTAGCTGGGACTACAGGTGCGTGCCACCATGTCTGGGTAATTTTTTCTATTTTTAGTTGCCCAGCTAATTTCTTTGTATTTTTAGTAGAGAGAGGGTCTTGCTCTTGCTGAGGCTGGTCTCAAACTCCTGACCTCAATCAATCCTCCGGCCACAGCCTCCCAGAGTGCTAGGATTACAGGTGTGAGCCACCACACCTGGCCTTAAATGGGTTCTTATACAGATGGTCCCCAACTCACAATCTTTTGACTTTATGGTGTGAAAGCAATACCTGTTCAGTACGCTCCTTGACTTACGAAGGTTTACATCCAGATTAAATCATCTTAGGTAGAAAGTCAGCTTATGATATCTCAACTTACGATGAGCTTATCCTGACATCACTTCATTGCATTGTAAGTCAAAAGGCATCTGTGTATGTAGACCACTCAGCACTGTTTATTTTACTGTATTGTTAATGGGTCACAGAGTGATATTTCAATATGTGTATACAATGTACAATGACCAAATCAGGGTAACTGGCATACCCATCACCTCAAATGTTTATCATTTCTTTGTGTTGTATACATTCAAAATTCTCTCTTTTAGCTTTTTGAAAATTTGTAATATAAAACAGCAACTCAAAGTACTGTAAAAAAAAATTTTTTTTTTTTTTTGAGACAGAGTCTCCTTTGTCACCCCAGGTAGAGTGCAGTGGTGTCATCACAGCTCACTGCAACCTCAAACTCCTGGGCTCAAGCGATCCTCCTGCCTCAGCCTCCTGAGTAGTTGGGACTACAGGCACCACCACCACGCCCAGCTAATTTTCCTGCTTTTAGTAGAGACAGGGTCTTGCTCTTGCTCAGGCTGGTCTTGAACTCCTGACCTCAAGCGATCCTCCTGCTTCGGCCTCCCAGAGTGCTAGGATTGCAGGCATGAGCCACCGTGTCCAGCCTGCAAAATAACTTTTTAAAAAGAAAATATTCAATAAATTCTATGTAACCATATTCACCCAACAGTGCTGCAGACAGCAGAACTCCTCCTATCTGGTGGCAATTTCGTATCCATTAACCAATCTCTTCCCATCCTCCCCTGTTCCCTACCCTTCCCAGCTTCTAATCCCTACAGTTCTACTCTCTACTTCCATGAGCTCATTTGTTTTAGCTCCCACATGATGAGAGCATGCAGTATTTGTCTTTGTGTGGCTGACTTATTTTAACATAATGTCCTCCAGGCTTATCTGTGTCACTGTGAATGGCAGGACCTGCTTTTTTATGGCTAAAGAGTATTCCATTGTGAACAGACACATTCTTTGTCCATTCATCTGTGGATGGAAACTTAGGTTGACTCCATATCTTAGCTATTGTAAGTAGTGCAAAGGCGCCAAGAACTTAAAATGGGGAAAGGAAGGTCTCTTTAATAAATGATGCTGGGAAAACTGGATGTCCACAAGCAGAAAAATGAACCTAGACCACTGTCTCTCATCATCTACAAAAATCAACTCAAATGGATTAAAGACTTAATCATGAGACCTGAGACTGTAACACTATTAGAAGACACAGGGGAAACACTTTAGGACATTGGTCTATGCAAAGATTTTATGGCTAAAACCTCAAAAGCACAGGCAACAGAAACAAACATAGACAAATGGGACTTCATTCAACTGAAAAGCTTCTGCACGGCAAAGGACACGATCAGCAGAGTGAAGACACCTGTTGAATGGGAGAGACTATTTGCAGACTACTCATCCGACAAGCACAACGTCCATCTCCCTCCTTGCAGTTTAGGCTCTAAAAGGGTGGGTCTGACTCTGCTCTTCCTAGAGGGCCCTGTGAAGCCCTGCTGAAGTTCAACTAAATTACACCAGAGCTCAGAGCCAGCCCCTGTGCGCTCTGTCCTTACCCTTTCCCCAGTCCTATTGCTATGTTGCTTCTCATACAGGTCCTGGGGGGCTGCCCGTATCCTCTTGGGAGGGGGCTGCTGGTCCTTGAGCCGAGCTCCCTTGCTTTGCAGGTCCTGCTTTGGGAGTCTGTCGCTAAGGAGGACCACCAGGCCCAGCATGTGGATGTCCCACTGCCCTCTCAAGCTCGGTGTTTCCACCAGGGAACTGAAGCCCTTTTTCCGACTCTGCATCTCTTTGCTCCACAGGAGCCTCCCATCTCAGGTGGGGCACCCTGGACTCCTCCCACCCTGTCCTCCCACTTTAAGGAGCTTCCAGGTCCAGGGAAGGCGGGGGCGCCCTGCCCCGGTGTTCCCACCTGCAGGTTGGCTGCCACTAACATGGTCCGCACACAGCAGCCCCGGCATCTTCCACATGTACCCCTGGATGGGATCACCCTTCAGTGACTGGCTCCCACTCTGCATGATCACGTACCAACCTGTTGGCCAGAATTTAATATGTGGCCACCCCCACATATCCCTGTGAGCTTCCCAGACCCAGCTCTGTCCTCCAGCCAGAACAAGGCTCTGTAGGCCTGGAGGCCCTGTGCCCTCTGTGCCCCTGGCCTGCTTATACCTTCAGCTTGGCTGCCACTTCCTCTTAGGTACTCCCCTATTTAGCTCCTGACTCCAGCTAGGATAGCAGCCAAAGCCCCACCTGGTATCTATGGGCTCTTCCCTGCACGCATCTGGGGTCCCATGCCACCCATGCTAACCTGACCCTCCTGTCTACCAGCAAGCAGGGTGGAGAGCTGGGGACAAGAGTCAAAAACTGTCAACTTGATAAAGGAGGAAATCCAGGAAGGGTGTGGAAAGTGACTCTTCTTTCCTGCTGCCGAGGCAGTCTACCTGAGCCAGAGCACAAGCTGAATGTGACGTGTACTCAAATCACCTGTCCAAGTCCCCGGGGAAAACCAGGCTGCTTACTTTATGGCCCGGCTCCTCCTTACCCATGAATTGCCATGACTCTTATTATGTGACACTCAAAGCTTTTCATAGCTGCCCCTCTTGCCTGGCCCTTGGGTCTGGGGTCTTTTAGAGAAGTCCTGCACAGTGAGACAATCTCCTGGCTCACAGGCTTTCTACATATGTATGTGTTCCTGTGTTCCTTAGACTCTCCTGATTCCTGGGGCTGTATGCTTTTAATCAGGAGCCACTGTCACCTCCAGGTGAAGAACAGCGGTGGCCTCTTTGGCCTGTAGCATTTATGACAACAACTTGTTGTGCCCCCCATGACCTTCCTTCCTGTCTTTCTGCAGGTAAGGGAACATAACTGGGGACACCCGTAGCACACAAGGTCAACGTGGCACACCCAGAGCAACCACAGTGGTTCCTGAATTTGGGGGAGGGAAACGCTGACTTCAGTTAAGGTCCTTGGACCAGCAGCTCAGCTTTCTTATTTTACAGGGGAGGGCCACAGAGGTAAGGTGACTGGCCAGGGTCACGTAGGGTGGTTGGTGGCACAGCAACACAAGTAGGGGCTCTTCTCCTTTGGGTGTGCCACAGGCCTCTTTGGCTTTTCTCAAATGGATACTTCCGACTGCATAAACTAAAACAACCAGAGAATTACAAAATAAATTTAATATGTTGAAAGATGGTTTTTAAAATATTCTTTTTGAGACAGAGTCTCACTCTGTTGCCCGGGCTAGAGTGCCGTGGCGTCAGCCTAGCTCACAGCAACCTCAAACTCCTGGGCTCAAGTGATCCTCCTGCCTCAGCCTCCTGAGTAGCTGGGACTACAGGCATGCGCCACCATGCCCGGCTAATTTTTTCTATGTATTTTTAGTTGTCCGATTAATTTCTTTCTATTTTTAGTAGAGACGGGGGTCTCGCTCTTGCTCAGGCTGGTTTCG